GTCTCTCTGGTGCTAAGAGTTGGCACTTCATGGCCTTGTGTCTTCACTCTTAATTTGAGAGAACCTACTGCTAGTCTCCAGGAAACATACTTGAAAATAAGTCAACTTTTTTTTCAGTAGTAATATATCTCATTGTGTGTTCAAAGAATGCTGAGAAATTTGTCCTGTGTATGTGGACACACATATGCACACTTAGCTCAAATGCTAAAAGTAGCTTTCAGTTATTCCATTAGATATTAGTAATCAATTTTTCCTTTTTTCCCTCCTACGGTAGTTTACCTGGTGCCCTGGTCGGCAAACCGTGGCTCGGGAGCCACATGCGCTCTTTGGCCCCTTGAGTGTGGCTCTGCCACAAAATACCACGTGTGGGCGCGCACGTACAGTGCGATGGAAACTTCGTGGCCCATGTGCAGAAGTTGGTATTTTGTGGATGAGCTGGTATCTTGTGGAAGAACCACACTCAAGGGGCCAAAGAGCCACATGTGGCTCGCGAGCCGCAGCTTGCCGACCACTGACCTAGTGTGAAGAGCATATAATAGGTTTATTCACATCATAGTTCTTAGGTACTACATTCTACTGTTTATATATAACTTATCTTTTAAGAACCATCACTTACTTGGATATCTTTCATTATTAGTACCAATAGTTGACTTCTTTTTAGATCCATTTCCACAAGGAAACAGTTTCACCACCAAACGAGTTATTACATTCACATGTCTTTCAGACAACCAAGCAATGTTGAGATTCAAAGGCTGAATAGTCAACTAGTCTCATTCATCAATTCATTCCCCCATCTCAGTTTACTCACATTACTTCATGTTATACTATCAATTTAGGTTTATCCCCAAATAACTGAAACAAATGCTAAACCTGTCAATATTTTCTAATAACATTAAGCATCATAGTGCATCGGAAAGGCACAGTATTAAAAAATGTTTTATGTTAATGTTTTGTGTGATGTAAAATTTCTTTTGTACTGCCATAAAAATGAAATCCTGTTAAAACAAAATCTAAGATATCCTAAAAGCATCTGATCCCAGTAATGCTAATGGACTTTGCCTGCAACAGTAGGCTTTGATGAATAGGTATATATTCTTTTAGAATTCATCAAGGTTCTATTCAAAGTCCTGCATAGAATTTGAAGTGTTCTGCCCCAAGTGTAGGCATTTTTATCCCACTTCCCAAGAGTAACTAATCTTTTAACCTAGCCATTTGCCTTGAAGTATATGCCCTAAGTGCCACCGTATGTCCTACAATTCCAATTCAAGAGGTAGGTACCCTATACTATTTGTCAGCTGCCACGGTCAGTTTTCAGTGAACACGGTAATCAAATGGTCCATTAAGGTATAACATGGTGTCCCTTTATTTGTCTTATGTGCTTTTAAGTTATTTTACAGTTCTTTACATCTCAGATATCAGGATACATCCACATGTTAACTTTTCTCCCTGGCAAATCAAAAGCTTGAAGTATGAGTCTAAAGAGCTCTCATTACTTCACATGATAAAATTCTGGCTGGTGTTAATGCTTTGAAGATAATCTGTACTTAACAAAGTGAAAGAATGTTTTTTCACTTTGATTTGAGTGACTATTAATGTTTCTTTTGCAGTGGAGGGAGGGATTTGACTGGTTTGCAAAGCCTAAGTACAAACTTATCTTTTCTAAAGAAAACCAAAAAACTAATTTAGATAATGTCAGCTAATTTTACTCAGTAATGTGTCTAATTATTAGGAAATGCAAAGGTTTATTTTTCACATGCATAGCAACCTGTTAAGTAGACAAGGTTTTCATAAATATTGTGTAATTAGCACAATGTAGTCTACAAGGCTCTGGACCCTCTGAAATCTCAGGTGGTTGACAAAATTCATTTCCTTATAGGATAGAACTTATATAGGCCTTCAAGGCCAATAGGAGGTCATCTCTCTGACTTCCCTTATCTCCCACCTCCAGATTCCCTTTTAAGAGCTCACCAGACTAGGTGAGGCCCAAGCACAATAATCTCCCTCTGATTAATCTGATTAGATATCTTTTTTAAAAAATACTTCCTGTTGAAGGTATTACATTTGTCGCCTTTCATTCCCCATTGGCCCCTTCTAGCCTGGCCCCGCCTCCTGCCCCTCGCCCCAGGCCTTCACCACACTTTCGCCTGTGTCCTTGGGTTATGCATATTTGCATACAAGTTCTTTGGTTGATGTCTTCCCACCCACCTTAAATACATTTGCAGTAACGCCTTTTGCCATAAAGGAGTGATATCCTTTAATACCCACAGGTCCAGCCCAGGCTTAAGAAGCATGTATAGTCAGGTGTGTCTCAAGGGTTGAGCAGGGACTTAATGAACCAGGAGGTCAGGGTTGAGTCCCCTGGGTGTGAGGGCATGCAGGAGGCAGCTAATCAATGATTCTCTGTCATCTTTGATGTTTCTATCATTCCCTCTCTGAAACCAATAAAAATATCTATTTTCTTAAAAGAAGCCTGTACACCAGGTGGTGGGAATCTTGGTGGCCATCTTAGAATTCTATCTACCACAGTGGCTCTTAGCAGTTTGGAATAAAATCCTAAAAACAACAATGAAGCACTCTTAGGAAATGCTACATTACAAGTATTTGTGGGCCAAGAATAATTCTGTGTGGAAAATAATGTGCACATCTGTGAGCCAAATGATGCTCACCAATATATGCTAAAATTAGTGGACTAAAGTTTAAGCAGAAAAGGATATTTGCTTAGTCTGTATTAATTTCCTAGATTTGCAATAACAAATTACCACAAATGGTCCCTAGCCAGTTTGGCTCAGTGGATAGAGCTTTAGCCTGCAGACTGAAGGGTCCCGGGTTTGATTCCACTCAAGGGCACATACCAAGGTTGTGGGCTCAATCCCCAGTAGACCCCGTGCAGGAGGCAGCCAATCAATGATTCTCTTTCATTGATGTTTCTATCTCTTCCTCTCTGAAATAAAAAATATGTATTTTTTAAAATTACCACAAACTGGATGGCTTAAAACAACAGAAATGTATTCTCCACAGTTCTGGAGGCTAGAAATCTGAAATCAAGGTGTGTTGGCAAGAATGGTTCCTTCCTCTAAGGGAGAATGTATTCCAGGCCCCTCTTAGCTTCTGGCAATTCTTGGCGTTCCTTGACTTGTAGATGCATCACTACAGTCTCTGCCTCAGTCTTCACATGGTGTTCCCCCTGCAGGTCTCTGTCTAAATGTCCCTTTTCTAAGGACTCTAGTCATTGGATTAGGGTTTTCCTTAATCAAACATGACTTCATTTTAACTTGATTATGTCTGCAAAAGACCCTTTTTCCTAACAAGGTCACATTCTAAGGTCTGGGTAGATGGAAATTTTGAAACATGGTCCCAACATATCCCCCCCCCCCCCCAAAATTTAGTAATTATAAAGGAGAAAATAGTAACTTTACTATGATAAATCCTGGCAGACACCACTACCCAACTGATTAAGGTAAAATGGTTTCTATGGAAAGGAACCTCAGGGTAATCTGATCATAAATTTCTAATTTCATACTCATGGTAGGTAGTCATGCCTTAGACACAGAACTTTCTTTAGTAAAAGGCTTATTTTTGCCTTAAGCAAGCCTTGTCCATTATTTCTGTGCATCTAGGTTAACACACTATTCGAATACCCCCTTTCAGATTCCTTCTTCTAAAGCATAGCCATCCCCAAGAAAGCACATAATCTTTTTTATATATATATATATTGATTTCAGAGAGAGAGAAAAACATCAATGATGAGAGAATCATTGATTGGCTGCCTCTTCACACCCTCTACTGGGAATCGAGCCTGCAACCCGGCCATGTGCCCCTGACCGGAATCGAACTCAGGACCCTTCAGTCCGCGGGTCGATGCTCTATCCACTGAGCAAGACCGGCTAGGGCCACATAATCTTTTTTAAAAAGTATTTTTATTGATGTTAGATGAATGTGTTGGGGTCGATCCCCAGCAGGTCCAGGGGTACCCTAAGGTGTGGACGGAGTTGGCGAAGAAGGAATGACACAGAGGCAGCGTTCAGTTGATCAGCATAGGGAGGTTCTCTAGCCAGGTTCTGTGTTTATTATCCTGTCACATCTGTATTTATACCAGTTGATTTTAATCCTATCCATTCTATTCCAAAGCTTAGGGTGTTTCTCATCTCCATTCCAAGGTTACTCTATTGTTCTATCAAGCTACAAGGAAGTAACTGAAGGAGATTATCCTAAGTAAAGAGTATGTAGTTTAAGCATGAATGGAGAGAGAGAGAGAAAAAAAAACCCACAACCTGATTATGTGCCCTGGCCAGGAATCAAACCTGCACCCTTTCCGTGCACAGGGCAATGCTTAACCAACTAAGCCACACCGGCTAGGGCTGAGAGTACATAATATTAACAATCTAGTAATCCAATCTCCGCCTTTCTTTCTCCACCTTCAGGTAATTTTTACGTTCCCTCCCTCATTTCAAGTACATGAAAGAAACTGCACTTATTCTCAGTCTGTTGAGATCTTCCAAATGAATCCTGTTTGACTCGAATTTTTATAAACATTCTCTGCAGGTTTGGATGTACTTACTTTGATAATAAACATCATTAATAGTACTTATTTTTTTCTTTATATACACATGAGAGTGACACTTAAATCTAGGTCTAAATAAATTTAAAAGAGTTCTTAATATAAAAATTCTAAGTAATAAAAATGTCAGTAAAATGGCAACATTTTATTCTTATGGTGCATAAATAATTTATAAATAATATACTGTATAATCAATACTCTCTTAGCTTTAAGTAAATGCAATTCATTCAACGAATATTTATTAAGTACTATTATTATGTAAGGAACTGACCTAGGTGTATGGGCTATAATGAACCAAATGTAACTGAGACTTATACT